TTTTAAGTTTATTTATTTATTTTTAGAGAGAGCACAGGAGGGGCAAAGAGAGGGAGAGAGAGAATCCCAAGCAGGCTCCATGCTGTCAGCACAGAGCCCAATGTGGGGCTCGAACTCAGGAACCGTGAGATCATGACTTGAGCCAAAATCAAGAGTCAGATGCTGGACCAACTGAACCGCCCAGGTGCCCCTACCTAAAAAAAAATTGAAAACCATTGCCTTAAATCTTGATTCTGATACTATTGATTTTTTTTAATTGTGGGCAGTTGTAAGGAAAAATAAAGGAGTGTTGTTTAATTTTTGAACTTACTAGAAATGAACAAAAAATCCACAGTAGTTAATACTTTTTTCTTTATACATAAACTTTAAAAAATGATGCATCCACTCACCTCTTCACATCACCCAGCTAGAACTTATGTTATTTTTATCTCAGACTCAAGGCAGAATGGCCTATATAAAATATTCCTGGTCATTTCCCAGTGATTGAAGTTACCTACATATATAGTACATTTGCTCATAGATTAGATTTTGTTAGATTTTGGTATTTCTTCCTTCTAATCTGAGACTATCTTGAGGGCAGGTAGCAGTGGGATACACAGTAATGAGTCAGGATGGAGTATCCAGAATTTATTTCTATTATCTTATCCAGGGATACCATATTGACAGTGCATTAGAATTGTACATTGTTCAACTTTTATTGCTTTTACTGGTGAAAGAAATTGATGATTCTAATGAGCCATTGTGTACTTTTACTTGATTGGTTCCATTTTTTTTCCTGCCTGAAAATCTAGTTTCAAGGAAGCAGAAGTGTGGGTTTCAGACTGTTCATGGAGGTACCCTCAGGGACTACTACTGGGAAAGGTAGCTGGAGTTAGAATGGGAGAAGAGGTTCAACTACAGTAGATCTAACTTGTCTGTTCCAAATAGGAACATATTTGAAAATAAGGTTTAAAAGTTACTCTAGAATAACATGTAAATCTGTGTTGATTCATTGCCCCCATAGGGTAAACTTGAATTTGTATCACACATCCATAGGCTAAACTTTTTGTATCACACATCCTTCTGATGAGCAATGATATTCTATTGCCTTTTTTTGTTTATCAGTATTACAGAGGCTCTAGGCTCTATTTTGGAATGAAGCTCACTATCCTGGAAGATGTGATTGTCATATCTAATAAATCCTTTGCCGTGAGACTTGGTGTGTTATGAATTATACTACCTGACCTTTGAATAGCATATTTTATTTTTCAAAGGACACATGTCAGGTCATTATGTTTGCTCTAGAACGTCTTTCTTCTGTGAATACATTCAGTAATTAAAGTAAAACCCACCAAACTTTCAACTTACACAAATTCTAAGGAGATAACAAGTTAACAACTTAAGATAGTTCCAGAATCTACTAAAATCATTAAATTTTAAGTTTACTTCAGAATCGTAGATTATGGATAAGAAGAATTGTTTAATATAGCATAGTGCTAAGTTAAGTAGTCTTCATATTTTCTTCTAGAGCTGTTAATGGTTGGTCTTTATTTCATAACTTTAGAGGGTCTTCAGATTGTAAACTTGTGGGACTTTTTACTTCTGAGTGTTTTTTTAACACATATTTCATTGTTAGATAAGCCAGATTTAGAATTTCGGACTAACACAGAGGAAGTAAACATGTTGGGCGGTTTCAGTGTCTTTCCTACTCGAGGCCTTAGAACCAGACTGTCTGGGTTTGAATACCTGCTCTGCACTTAGCAGCTGTGTGATCTAGGGCAGATTGTTTTGCGTGTATGGTATATAGGGCATATAAGGGAATGGTAGGACATGAGACTGGGAAAATAGGCAGATTCAAGACAGTAAGAGGTTTTATATAATATGCGAGGGTTTGAACTCCAGTGAGTAGATGGGAAGCCACTGAAAAATTATCAACAAGGGAGATGCACCTGCGGATTATGCTTAAAAACATTACCCTGGTACCATATGAAGGGTTGAATTAGAATAAGGCAGGAATGGAGTTATTAAAAGAGTACATGAAGTGATCTAGGGGACACAAGATGGCTAAGCTAAAGAATAGGATTAGGGACATATAGGAAGAGAGAAATTTGAGAGACTGAAGCATTCAGAATAGATAAGACTCACTGACTAGATATGGAGAGACAGGAGGGAGAGTCCCATTGACTTCTGTCTTGGACAGCAGAGTTTGGGGAAGAGGTAGAGTATAAGTTTGTAACTGAAGACATGTGAGTAGAGATATCCAGATAGGGTCTGGAGCTTAAAATAAATATCTGAGTGTAAGATTATATTTTTGATGGTACCCAGAACCATAGGAGTGGCTGAGTTTATAGGAATAAGGTAAGGGGTGAAAAGAAAGATGAGAATAGAACCCTGAAGAACTCTGAAGATGGAAAAATTGGCTGGGGAAAGAAAGAGAACCAGAACTGTTATATTGAGGAAACCTTTTGCTATCTGTTTTCTCCTAATTCCCCATGCCCTTAACATGAGACTAAAGCCAGGAAAGGATTGGAACATGGGTGGCAAAGCAGGCCATAGCTTTGGGGTTGTTAGGCTATTTAGTGGAACTTTTTAGTACTGAATGCAAAACCATCCCGTAAATAGTTGTTGCTCCCCAACTCAAAACTGCTACTCCGGGAAAATGTTTCTTCTATACGATATTTACATCAGTCTTGTTTTGACATTGTCTACTGAACTTGTACCTGTGAGGTCATAACTCCAGTCAGTATTCATTTTTATGGCTATTCTAATAGATGCAATGTCTAGCCTGTGTGTCACCAAAGTTCAGACTCCTATTATATTAAAGCTAGTAATATACCTGACAAGGCATGGCCAAAAGAGGTATTCAGTAAAAAGTACAAGTTGTTATCTGTAGGATATGCCATATAAGATGTGTACACAGGAAACAAAGAACTTCACTGTAATTTACTGATAAAGAAATTCAGTATCCTAGGACATTTTTGTTTCCAAGAGACAAATTGCCTAGACCAGTGTGTGTGGAATAGTAAGCAATATGACATTCAAAGTTTAGGACAGTTTGGGTAAAAGACTTATTTTTGTCTTGGCTTTATATCTATGTGTATGTCTGTTTGTTTATAGCTCTGAAGATGGCTGTAGTAGATATCTATCATTCCAGGTTAAAGGAGAGACAAAGGCGAAAAAAGTAAGTACAGAAAACCATCCTGCCTTCTTTCAGGTATGCAGTATTGAATACCACATATAGCCCATAAGAACATTCTACTTGTGACTCATCTTGTCACCTTGAGGAAGACAATGATATTCCTTGATCCTTAATTTTTCCATCTGTCAAATGGAGGTAATAACACTTGTCCTTTTTTTGCTTTTTTGCCTCCACCTTCCTTACCTTTTCTTGATGTTATGATGGTCATTGAGTAATATGGGTACACTGTTTTTTTGTTTGTTTTGTGGTTTGTTTTTTTTTTTTTTTTTTTTGAGAGACAGAGCAAGTAGGGGAGGGGCAGAAAGAAGGAAAGGGAGAGAAACCCAAGCAGGATCCACACTGTCAGCATGAAGCCTAATGTGGGGCTCAAACCCATGAACCGTGAGATCATGACCTGAGCCGAAACCAAGAGTCAGACACTTAACCGACTGAGCCACCCAGGCACCCCTAATATGGGTACACTATTTTAAAGAAAACAGGAACAGTTAAATTCAAGTTGTTATCAAATTGTTATGCTTCTTTTAATGCTCTCATTTTTTTTAATGTTTATTTATTTATTTTGAGAGAGAGTGCAAACAGGGTATTGGGGCAGAAAGAGAGAGAGAGAGAGAGAGAGAGAGAGAGAGAGAGAATGAATCTTAAGCAGGCTCCATGCTGTTAATATAGAGCCCAGTACGGGGCTTGATATCACAAACCATGAGATCATGGCCTGAGCTGAAATGAAGAGTCAGACACTTACCCAACAGAGCCACCCAAGTGCTCCTTTAATGCTCCATTCTAATGGCTCATTTTTTTGAGAAGTCTTACTCAGGAGGATTTCAAAAAATTCTGAACAATTTTCAGACACTCTCAAGTTCTTCCTTCTCTTTGCAGCAGAACAAAAAGCATACATTCAGATTGAGAAATTAATGGATCCCAGACAATTTTAGCAGTTAGATTACAGAGACTTTTAACAATTCAGAGAAGGGTATGCAGAGGGTATGAGTGTGAATGCGTGTTGTCATGATGTTACAGAGTAGAAACACAGTGACATAACAACAAAAATGGGAATAGGACTTGGGGGGCACTCTTGAGGGACCAAGATGTGACCTAAAGTAAAGCTTATTCTCTGTGTGTTCTGAGAAGTGCTGAAGAAAATTATCCAGTTGTTGTGAGAAGCTTCATTACTAGTGATAAATACTCGTGATAGGGCGCCTGGGTGGCTCAGTCGGTTGGGCGGCCGACTACAGCTCAGGTCATGATCTCCCGGTCTGTGAGTTTGAGCCCCGCATCGGCCTCTGCTGACAGCTTAGAGCCTGGAGCCTGCTTCCTATTCTGTGTCTCCCTCTCTCTCTGCCCCTTCCCTGCTTGCTCTCTGTCTCTCTCTCTCAAAAATAGTAAACATTAAAAAAATAAATAAATACATGTGATATAAAATGAAAGGTTCCAGACACATGGTTTACTTAAATTCTGTTTTGCTTAAAACACATAATTCAAGCTCAACAGTATTGTAGAACTCAGTGGTTGAGGTTGCTGTTTGATCTTATGTTTTATGGAGACACTTCCATTAAACATGCATGATACTTATTTCAAATAGGTTTAAAGCATTATGTGAATGTACACATGTACGGTTATAAATGTTGAATGTATAATCATGGTGCCATTTTATGGTTTAGCTATTTCCCTTAAATGGCTATTCTCAATTATCAATTCCCTAAATTGAATAGTTTAATTCTTATCACATGGACACAGATTCCCTTCTGTTTCATGCCAAGTTACAGATGTGTTTTTCAGTATTTTTGAGTGTTCATTCATTCATCCAGCAAATAGTTATTGAGAGTCTACCATGTCCAAGGAAAGGAAAAATATATGATGGTTGAAAGCCTAAAATTGTGTTAGCAGACTCACTGCCCTTCAGAAACTTGTGAGGAGTAATGTCTTTGAACCGCAATATTCCACCCCATAGTGTTTCATATGCCTAGTAAAAGCTGCATGTGGAAGAAGTATTAAATGTGAAACTAATTATAATAAACATTATTGTGGTTTTCATCCTAGAATTATAAGAGACCATGGATTAATCAACCTTAGAAAGTTTCAGTGTAAGTATTAGCTGCTTTCTTTATTTTAAAATTTCTTCCAACATTATTGAACAGTTTTGAACAAATCATTTATGGCAGTAGTTCTTAATTCAACTTGCATATTAGCATCAATCGGGAGCCTTTGTTTTTTTTTTTAAGCAATCTTCACACTTAGCATGGGGCTTAATATGTGACCCCAAGATCAAGAGTCACATGACCTACTGACTGAGCCAGCCAGGCGCCCCAGCATATCATGTAAGAAGCTTTAAAAAATTTTCATGCCTGGGTATCAACTCAGACTATTAATTCAGAATCTCTGAGGATTAGTGCTAGAACATCTTTATTTTTAAAATATCTTTAAGGCAGTTCTGTTACATAGTGAGAGTTAAGAATCATTAATATCTGATCAACATTTATATGATAATTCCTTTTTTTTAAGTAGTATAGTAATTACAGCATGAATATTAATGGGTCATTTTCTGGAACTGGATAGGAACTATATGTTAAACACAACCATGATCATCAAGTTGTTAAACATTTTTATGGAAAAAGTCAACCCGTATTGTGCATGGTAGTGGACACAGAAGACATTTAGCTCTGTATGATGGTGAGACTGAAACTATAATGATTTTTAAGTGAATGTTCACTTTGATGTTACTGTTTTAAATATTGAAGTTACCTAGGCTGAGCAGAAAGAGTCCCTGTACTTTTTCTTCTTCTACACTGCAGTTTGTTCAGCAAATAAGAATTATGATCTCATAATTACAACATTTTTATAGAAATGTTTATAATACTCATATGTCACAGTATTCTTTTTTGTAAAAGTACCTGATGATTATTGTGCTTTGTATCCTAGTTGATAGGGCTTGATACTCTGTGCCATTATAGGGTGCAGGTCAGCCAGTCATGGGTTAAATGTTTTTGTGATCATAATGTGACATTTTTTTTTCACTTTCTGTTACACTTTTTCAAGTGATTGTGGTGTTTTGAGGATGTCACTCTTAATAGTTAAATAATAGGTTTATCTTTTATTATTAGATATTTAGTTTTTTAAATCATCATACATAATTCTCTGATGCATTTGTGAATAAAGCTTTATATATATTTAGAATTTTAATGTTTATTTATTTTGAGAGAGAGAGTGAGCGAGGGAGGGTCAGGGAGAGAAAGAGAGAGACAGAGAGAGAATCCCAAACAGGCTCCCTGCTGTCAGCGCGGAGCCCAGTGCAGGGCTCGAGCTCACAAACCGTGAGATCATGATCTGAGCCAAAATCATGAGTCGGAAGTTTAGGGGCGCCTGGGTGGCTCCGTCGGTTGGGTGTCTGACTTCGGCCCAGGTCATGATCTCACTGTCCATGAGTTCGAGCCCCGTGTTGGGCTCTGTGCTGACAGCTCGGAGCCCGGAGCCTGCTTCGGATTCTGTGTCTCCCTCTCTCTCTGTGCCCCTCCCCCGCTCGTGCTCTGTCTCTCTCTCTGTCAAAAATAAATAAACATTAAAAAAAAATTTTTTTTAAGAGTCGGAAGTTTAATCGACAGAGCCACTCACGTGTCCCATAGAATTTTTTAAGGTGGATTCCCAGAAGTGGAGTTAATAGGTCAAAGAATATGATCATTAAAAATGCTTGACATGTGCTGCCAGATTGCTTTCCAAAAAATGGTTGTATCAATTTATATTCCTTGCCTGTTTAACCTCATTGAGAACTGTGGGTTTGCAAAAATAACTCACAATCAGATTTCCATTGCCCTTTTTATAGACAATAATTGGTCATATTCTTGTAGCTACAGTAGTGGGTTCCTGTGTCTGAATGCCTGGGTTTTCAATAGCAGGTCAATAGGATTTTGACCTTTACTCATAGTAGAACTTGACTCATGTAAATTCTGTTCTCAGCTGGTAAACACAGGTCAGTTTAGCTTGATTATTCTTTTAACTGTACGTGTAGAGCTGAGAGGAGGCTCTGTTGCTTCTGAGAAAAAAGCAGCATGTGCAATGTGATTTCAGAGTTTTCAACTACCATTATAGTGAGTGTATGTGACCTTCATATCATAGGCAGAGGGTTTTTCCATCAAATTTAAAATTTTTACTCCAAATTTTTCTGTACTATCCCTGCAGGGGTTTTTTTTTTGCTTTTGGTTTTGGGAGTTTTTTGGTAGTGAAAATAATCTGTGGCTGCCCATCAAATCAGCACCTGGAATTTGTGGATAAGAGTGTCTCCTACAAGGGAAGAGATGGAGCTGAAAAGAGACTCAATTTCAATAAGATCTTAACTGAAAGCCTGTATCTATAGTGGAAAAGTACGCAGAATTAGTTTAGTTACTGATCAGCTCATCTAATCAGTAGTTACTAATTCATCTAATCACCTGGTTTTGGTGTAGTTCTTCTGATGGAAATGACCAAGTAGCAGTTCCTGGCACTTCCAACCTACCACTTAATTGTTCGTAGGTTTTACTCCCCATCCTCTTTGCTGATACTTCTTTTTATTAGAAATTTGGTCATTAGTGATCCTCAGAGTTAACTACCTGAGGATCAGGAACCTGTATACACAGGATGCTATGACCATTTACTTAGATGATAATTATCAAAATATAACTTCATTAGAAAGAGAGCACACATTTTTTCTAGGCTAACCTACCTCTTCTACATGCACTTCCCTTGTTTTCCTGTGGTAGTTCATACCAAAATTCTGCCCAGCATTGTTCCTAAGAATGCATGATCTGCCTTTAATTGTCTTTCCCATTACTGCCAGCAGTCCCTGCCCCTGTACAGATTAACAGACTGAGGTGCGGAGGTCAGCTGGGTGCTCAGTAATGCAGATGACCTTCAATTCTCCAGTGATAACAGCATCCCTGTGTGATAGTCACTGTGATGCTGTTATCATTATGATTAATGTTTTGCATTCTTGGCTTTCCTGTTTGCTTCCTGTCATGGGTAAATTAGTCATGTGAGGTTAGGCATAGTATCCTTCCATTTGACTTCTAGTAAAAGAAACACAGACTCTAACTTAGAGATTTTTATATTCTCTATGGCATGGTTGTGTTTTATTTTCTCTGTAGTAATGGAACGGCGGTATCCCAAGGAAGTCCAAGACCTTTATGAAACAATGAGGCGATTTGCAAGGATAGTGGGGCCAGTGGAACATGACAAGTTCATTGAAAGCCATGCACGTAGGTGCTTTTTAAACTTTGTGCAAGTATTTGTGTGTTTGTGTATGTGTGTGTTTATATAAATAGAGATAATGGTATGTTTTAGGTGAAGTTCTATGAATAAATAATAAATAAATGAATATTTTTATCTTTTCTTCCCCTTTATTACCTTGAAATGACTTGGGGGTGGGACAAAAGAGGTTAAAAGCCTGGAAGCTTTCTTTTTTCCCCAGATAAAAAGTAGTTTTATAGTTTCTCCCCTGACTTTTTATTATGGGAGTTTTCAAATATATATAAAAGTAGGTCTGACAGTGTAATGAACCCCCATGTATCCATCACTCAGCTTCAGCAATTAACACATCCAGTTTCATTTCTATCACCCCCTCTTCTCCCGTGCTCAACTGGATTATTTTGAAGCAAATCCAAGACATCGTATCATTTTATTCATAAATACATTAGCATTAAAAGTAGTTCTTAAAATGGGGACAAGATTTGGATGACTCATGGAGATAGTACTTCTATCATTCTCTTTCTCTTTTTTTTTAAATGTATTTATTTTTAATGTTTATTTGGTCTTGAGAGAGAGAGAGACAGAGATAGAGCATGAGCGGGGGAGGGTCAGAGAGAGAGGGAGACACACAACCCGAAGTAGGCTGCAGGCTCTGAGCTGTCAGCACAGAGCCCAGTGCGGGGCTCGAACCCGTAAGCTATAAGATCATGACCTGAGCTGAAGTCTGATGCTTAACCGACTGAGCCACCCAGGTACCCCTCCCCTCCCCCTTTCTTTCTCTTTTTTAATTAAAAACAATGTTTTTTTATTTCCTTAAGTAATCTCTGTGCCCAACAAGGGGCTCGAACTCACAGCCCTGAGCTCGAGAGTCTCATGCACTACCGACTGAGCCAACCCAGTACTTCCATCATTCTCTTGCCTATCTTTCTGAGAGACCTTTGCCCAGTTACTATTTGATTTTTCACTATAAAAAAATTGAAGTTGTTAAGGCAGTAAGGCCTACACTTTAAAATAATCTGGACTGGGCAGCTTAGTCTGTATGTTTCATTGTGAGATTTATGTATTTGACCCTCAAATTTAGGGAAAATGCTTTACCAAGACTCTTATCCTGTTCTCATCGTGCAGTTATTTGTTGCATGGCATTATAGGCATTTATCTGGGCCTGGTTGGTTGTCCTCATCAAACACCCTGTTTGGTTGGCATTCTTTGTGTGGTTTGCACTAGGTGACTGATCCTTTACTTCCTGTCCCAGTTTGTGCCATCCCTGGTTCATGTGTCACTCCAAAGAACTACACCCCATGAATTGTCTGGGCTCTTCCTTCATCCTCTGTTTCAAAGCACCCAAATTTGAATGTTCTATCACATAATAACGCAAGCAATACAACCTGATCTGTCCACTCAGAGGAAGCAGAAATCTTTGGTTTATGGAAAACAATGCTCTTTTGTTCCTATAGGAGAAAAGCTGTAAAGAAGCTATCTGGGACTTGAGCACAGAGCTTTTGTCCTTTGCTTATAAAAGGGCCACATCAAGTAATAGCAAAGATAGCTTTTATAAAAGAATTTGGTTATTTGGATAGATAAATAGAGGATAAACAGAGCAAGGAAACTTAGTTGTTTAAAAAAATTAATTCGTTACTTCTGTAGCTAATGAATTCAGCCAGTTCATTGTACCACCTTCTGGGAGACGTTTCCAGCTGCTTTCTCCAGCTGGAGATGGTAGCCAAAAGATAGCTAGAGTACGTTTTTCTGAGCTCTTGGGTAACATTTCTTTTTTTTTTTTTTTTTAAGTTTATTTATTTTGAGGGAGAGAGAGTGTGAGTAGGGGAGGGGAGAGAGGGGGAGAGGGAATCCCAAGCAGGTTCTCCACATCATCAATAGAGTTTGATAGGAGTCAGACTCAAGGAACCAAGAGATCAGCACTGAGCTGAAATCAAGAGTTGGATGCTTAACCAACTGAGCCACCCAGGCACCCCTCTTGGGTAAAATTTCTAATGAAATGTCATCATTATATAGGATTTCCCAAATGTAATTGCCCAGTCTTTTATATAAGACAGAATTACTGAAAATACTCAAAAGCAGAAGTATTCCTCTTAATGTTGATTTTGGCTTTCCAATTTTTCTCCTTCATTCTTTTTGGGATAAACAGTGGAATTTGAACTCCGAAGGGAGATCAAGAGGCTCCAGGAATACAGAACAGCAGGCATTACCAATTTTTGTAGTAAGTATGCTTAAGTTACACATTATATCAGTGGGCAAGTGTCTTCTTAGAATTTTTTTTTTTTTTTTTTTTTGAGAAAAAGAGAGGGAAAGAAAGAGAATGTGAGTGGGGGAGGGGCAGAGAGAGAGGGAGAGTAAGAGAGAATGCCAAGCAGGCTCCATGTCCACTGCAGAGCCCAATGCAGGGCTCTATCTTACAACCATGAGATCATGACCTGAGCTGAAGTCAAGAGTCAGATGCTCAGCCGGCTAACCCACCCAGGTTTCCCTGCAAGTGTCTTCTAAACACATAAAGGAAGTCTCTGAGGCTTTGTGGATTTTTTTTTTTTTTTTTTGGCTTTGTGAATTTTTTTAAAACAAGTTTTCCTTTTTTGAAATGAGTTTTTGATCTTTCCAGTAAAGTTTCATGTGTATAATCCTTATAAATACCCTTATATGGTTATCTCAGGTAAAATAAAAGTGACAACACAAAAGAGAGGTGCTGTTTTAGATGTGGGAATCTGCTATGGCCTCTAAGAAAAGGATTTTATATTCTGAATTTTAGCCTCAACCTTTTAAAATTTTGTGAATGCATGGTCTGATCATTTGTATTAACCAAGCTTCAAATGGTTCTACATGCTTGCATCCCAGTTCTTTGAGGTAGTAATAATACTTATATTAATAGCAGCCAGCATCTTTCACCATGCACCAGGCCCTACACTATGATTCTTGTAACAGACTTATGAGATCGGCACTGTTATTTCCATGTAATGAAGAAACAGATTTAAAGTGGTTAAAGATGGGAATGCAAGCTGGTGCAGCCACTCTGGAAAACAGTATGGAAGTTCCTCAAAAAACTAAAAATAGAACTACCCTACAACCCAGCAATTTGCACTACTAGGCATTTATCCACGGGATACAGGTGTACTGTTTTGAAGGGACACATGCACCCCCATGTTTATAGCAGCACTATCAACAACAGCCAAAGTATGGAAAGAGCCCAAATGTCCATCGATGGATGAATGGATAAAGAAGATGTGGTATATATATATATATATGTGTGTATATATATATGTAT